AGAAACAAAACACCATAATCTTATTCTGTCAACCAAATGCCTTCCAGATTTAAATTGTTAAGACTTTACAATGATGTAAATCAATCAAATTTGCATATAACCAACAAAATCTGCAATTATAAACGATACAAGGTTTACATTGAAAGAAAGAAATATAAGAGGGAATCCACATTAAAAGAACTATACACAAAGATGAGTAATTTAATAAAGGAAAAATTATAATTGTACCCCTATATTTTAATCATATTAATTACTCTTTGCGATTTAGAAAATAAACTACTATACACACGTGGTTTAGATCCATTACACTGGCATGTGCTTCTGTCGTCCACTTTTTCATTTTTGAAGAGCAAGTCAATGAAATATTTGACATTCCAACGAGAGAGAATGAGATATATGTCAAGAATACCCATTTCATTATAACTACTTCCTCTAACCCATGGAAATTTCTTGTGTTTTCTCTAGTTTTCTTTTTGTTTTTTTTTTTTTTGAAATGATCGACAACAATGAGAGGCAGTTTGTGCTGCCATTTCCCTCTTAATTGAGGTGTTTTTTTTTTTTTTTTTTTTTTTTTTTTTTTTTTTTTTAGTTAGGGTTAACATTTTTTTTTTTTTTTTTTTAGTTAGGGTTAACATTGTTATTTCATAGGGTTTTAACGTCTGAAAGTGCAAAAATTGGACGGAAACACATACCAGTGTAACGGACCTAAACCATAGGTGTATAGTAGTGTATTTTCTAAAATACAAGGATAGAGTAATTAATTTAGTCAAAACATAGAGGTATAATTATAATTCCCCCTTTAATAATAGAACTCGGTAAAGGAGCTATTGGTCACAGCTTCAAGAAACAAATTACATCGAAATACAAAATGATAAGATGGGTAACAGATTACACAATAAGTTATTATTAGAAGTTGATGAGACTTTTAATTAGAAGGTTCATGACTCAAAATAATCAAGTTCATCCTAAATACAGAGTACTAAGTATTACTTACATACAATGCATTTTATTAATTAAGTTTTCAAGTCTTTTAGTTTTATGTGATGCTTTTATTGTAATTCTTATCAAGAAGCATCTATAAATAGATGTTTATAAAGAAGAAAACATATAGCAAATTTCAAAAATTCCTTCTCTTATCTTCTACTCTCATTTTCTAAGTTAACTTTTTCATATCTCTTAGTTTCAAAACAGTGGTATCATAGCTCTCTTGATCTTTAAGGACTGTGTAGTTTTGTTTTTTTCTCCATGTCAAGTTCTAATTTCTCTTCAGTTTCTCCTCCAGTATTTTCTAGAGAAAACTACCAAGTTTGGCCCATCAAAATGAAGGCTTACCTACGAGCAATGTCTTTGTGGGAAGTTATTGAAATAGATGAAGAACCACCACAGTTAGGAGAGAATCCAACCATTGCTCAACTGAAGAAACATGAGAAAGATTTAGCAAAAAAACCAAAGGCTTTGACCTGCATTCATTCAACAATTTCTGAAGCAATTTTCTGTAAGATCATGGCCTGTGAAACACGTAAGAGGCATGGGACAAGTTGAAGGAAGAATTTGAGGAGAGTGACAAAGTTAAGGCAGTAAAGTTGGTGACTCTCAGAAGGGAATTTGAAATGTTAGAAATGAAAGAAGGTGAAATGGTGAAAGAGTACTCCTCCAGGATTATGCAATTGGTGAATCGGATTAGATTGTTTTGAGGAAAAATTTGAAGATTCTAAAGTGATTGAAAAAATTCTAGTTACATTACCAAAAAAGTTTGAAGCCAAAATTCCAGCCATTAAGGAGTCTTACAACCTCAAAACTTTATCCATTGCTGAGCTCATTACTAAGTTTCAAGCTCAGGAATAAAGAACTTCTATGAGGAATGAAGAAGTTGGTGAAATTGCCTTTCGAGTAAAGCATATAGGCAAGAGGTTTAATGGCAGAGATTCAAGGAAGAAATACAACGACAAGATTAGAAAATCCAAAGGAGAAAACTCTGGTTCTGGTGAATTTCAAAACAAAACCAAGTTTCCTCCTTGTTCTATCTACAAAAGGACAAATCACCTTGAGAAGGATTGCTACTTCAAGGGAAAACCGTTGTAGCATTGTAACTTTTGCAACAGAAATGGGCACATAGAGAACTATTGCCGAGATAAATGAAGAAATAGTCAAAATTTACAACCCTTAACATGATCAAAATAGAGAAGAAGGATGTTTCATGACCTCTCATCTTAGTCATGAACACAACAAGTTCACCTGGCTCATTGACAGTGGCTACACTAGACATATGGCTAAGGAAGCATTAGTTTTCTCTTCACTGGATAAGACCTTCAAAAACAATGTCAAGTTGGTAAATGGAAGGAGAGTTAAAATACAAGGAAAAGGTTCTATCATTATGAAAACCAAGCAAGGTAACAATTCAATTTTAGATGTTTTGTTTGTTCTTTATCTTGACCAAAACCTTTTGAGTGTGGCACAAATGATGAGGAATCGTTACTCTCTTTAGTTCAAAGATATCTCTTGCACTATTTCTGATCCTTATGGTCGTGAAATAGCCAAAGTCAAGGTGGTTGATAATACTTTTCCATTGAGTTTGAAACATGGGAGTCATCATGCTCTGAGTTGTAGGTACATGGGAGTCATCATGCTCTGAGTTGTAGGTCTGATGAAACATGATTATGGCATAAGAGATTGGGTCATTTCAACCCAAACTTACTAAAAAATTAAGAAAACTCATAGATACTGCCTGAGATTTATGTTAGCAGCAGTATATGGGAGTCATCATGCTCTGAGTTGTAGGTCTGATGAAACATGATTATGGCATAAGAGATTGGGTCATTTCAACCCAAACTTACTAAAAAATTAAGAAAACTCATAGATACTGCCTGAGATTTATGTTAGCAGCAGTATTTTTGAGTCGTGTCAGTTGGGGAAAATGCATAAACAAGCCTTTCCAGTCAACCAGGATTAGAGAGCAACATAAAAATTGTAGCCAATTCACACTGATGTCTGTGGTCCCATGAGTATTCCATCTTTAAACCAAAGCAGATACTTTATTTTGTTCATAGATGATTCTACCATATTTAAATGGGTTGAATTCCTTAGTTGCAAGTCACAAGATTTTTTTACGCATTCAAGAATTTCAAAGTCATGATTGAGAATCAAAGTGGTAAGAAGTTAAAGATTCTGGGATTAGATAATGGAAAAGAATACTGCTCCAAAGATTTCAAAGTTTTTCTGCAAAAATCAAGCATATAGCATTAGTTTTCAGTTAGCTATTCTCCTCAGCAGAATGGTGTATCTAAGAGGAAGAATAGGATAGTTGTAGAAATGGTAAGGTGAATGATAGCAGAAAAGAAATTGCCAAAGCAGTTTTAGGCTGAAGCAGTTTTTATTTCAGTATATCTCCTCAACAGATTGCCCACTTTATCTGTAAAAGGAATGACTCCATTTGAGGTCTGGTACGAATCAAAACTCTCTCTCAAACATTTAAAGGTTTTTGGTTCTATCTACTATGTTCATGTTCCAAGTGTAAAAAGAAGAAAGTTGGATGAAAAACCAGAAGTGTGTTTGTTTTTAGGGTGCGCTGCTCACTTCAAAGGCTATGGAGTGTTTAATCTCAGCACCAAGAAAGTAGTTATTTCCATAGATTTGACGATTGATGAAATGGCAACTTGGGACTGAGAAAAAGAAAAAGTTGAGAAGGAATCAATTAAACCTGCAGAAATTGAAAGAACTAGTGAAGATCTTATAGAAGAAAGTGATCCTGACTCACCGGTCCTTAGTCATTGGCAAGGATATATGAAAGTTGCAGCATTGCAACTCAAGAATCCACTAGTTATTAAGAGGCTGCAATGCACATAAAGAATGGAGGCAAGCCTTGAAAGAAGAAATTGCAGCAACCGAGAAGAATCAAACATGGGTTCTCACCTTCAAAACATAGGGCAGAAATGTGATTAGAGTGAAATGAGTGTTTAGAACGAAGTACAATGCTGATGGCACAGTTAACAAATACAAAGCAAGGTTAGTCATTAAACGCTATGCTTAGTTGGCAGGAGTGGACTATGAGATAAATTTTCTCCTGTGTTTATACATGATACTATAAGGTTATTGTTAGCACTTATAGCACAAAATACATGGAAAATATTTCATCTGGATGTGGGGTATGTCTTTTTGAATGGCTTACTTAAGGAGGAGATTTATATTCACCAACCAGAAGGTTTTATAGTCAAGGGAAGTGAAGACAAAGTTTACAAGTTTAATAAGGCTTTATATGGTCTTAAATAGGCTTTATTGTACCTTACTGCCACCAGACTTGATCTCATATTTGCTGCCAGTTTACTCTCAAGATTCATGAACTCACCAAGCAAGAATCATCTTAATGCAGCTAAAAGAGTTTTAAAATATGTCAAGGCAACTTGCAATTATGTTATTTTTTATGCAACAAGAAAGGAAGTAAAACTTGAAGGGTTTATCGACAATGATTAGGCTGGAAGTGTGGATGACAGTAGCACAAGTGAATGCATTTTTTCTTTAAGATCAAGACCATTCTCTAAGAATTCTAAGAAACAAGAGGTGGTTGCTCAATCTACTGCAGCAGCCGAGTATGTTGCAGCAGCTTCTGCTGCAAACCAAGCTATTTGGAGTAGGAAGCTATTGAGTGATTTGGGATTGAGGTTGTTGGATCCTACTATGATTTTTTGTGACAATAAGTCAACCATTGCCATTGCAACTAATCCAGTTCAACATGGAAAAACTAAACATATTAAAGTACCATTTTTTAAAAGAAGCCTAAAGAAATAAGGAGATAAAGCTGATTCACTGCAAATTGAAAGATCAACTTGCTGATATTTTGACAAAAGCTTTACCTTATGGCAAATTCGAAGAACTGAAATGGTTAACTGGAATTTGCAAGAAAAGTCTCAAGGCATGTTAGAAGTTGATGAGACGTTTAATTAGAAAGTTCATGAATCAAAAAAATCAAGTTAATCAAGTTCATCTTCGATACATAAAACTGAGTGTTACTTACATACAATGATTTTATTAATTAAGTTTTCAAGTCTTTTAGTTTTATGTGATGCTTTTATTGTAATTCTTATCAAAAAGCATCTATAAATAGATGTTTATAAAGACGAAAACAAATAGCAAATTTCAAGAATTCCTTCTCTTATCTTCTACTCTCATTTTCTAAGTTTAATTTTTCATATTTCTTAGTTTCAACAGTTATATTACAAGCAACTAGGAGCTTCTACAAGCTTCGCAGCAGCCGCCAAGCCACTAATTATTGCCCCTTCAACATTTGGGCTGACACAAAAATCTCCGCAGATGGCCAATTTCTTCTTCCCATCCCAGAAGCATTTTTCTTCTCCAGCTATGCTAGCAGCTGGAAAAGCACTTCCCCTGCCAAATCAACCACCAGCTAAAATAAGTTAGCACCAGAGTTTAAAATAAAAGGTAGAGGTTATAGAACAATGAAAAGGAAAGGAGAAATATACATATGCTATATTTCTAAGGGAAGTTGAATAATTTAAAGTGTTATGACGAATAGTTGTGCATCAAATTTTAATGTGAAGCTGCCATTGGGCTAGTAGTGACTGCTCAAGCGCTTTGCCTGAGAGAGCAGGAGGCTAGGGGGTTCGGTTTTCAAACTCAGGAAACACCCTTCTCCATTAAATAATTTTATTGTACAAACAAATAATTGATGTGGAACAATTTTTTTATGGTTGTAAAACCACAGGTCCATCAACCTGGGAAATGAAACCAATAACAAATTCACTATGAATCTATTCTTTACAGATGTAGCACCACAAGCTCATAACCCATGAGCGTATCCAAGATCTTCAATTGCACTACTGCTGATAGAATTATTTTTGTTATTGGTTTATACACCATAAACCATTTGTTAATACCATAATCCAATCAACCAAAAAGACTAGATGCAATTGGTTTTGGTGCAAATGGACTTAACGAATGCACCAAGGGTAATTTTACAGCTACTGACATGAGATATGGGTTGGGTTGCGACTGTCAAACGAGCTAAATTTATGAACAATAATCACTGTCAGTAACACAAAGGTAAACACGTAAACTCCACCTTTATGCTCTGTCCAAAAGCACATTTTTCTCTTCTTACAACATCTTCATCATCACATAAATATCACAATTTTTGCATCAACCCAACTTCAGAAAGACAATTCTGAACTCCAAATAGCTCCAATTCTTGGGCCTCATTACAGATTCCAGAGCAAACTAGACATGTATCATCACTTCTTGGTCCTTCAAAAGCTTAAACAAACCAGTTTGGTATTGATTTGGTCAAATACTTGGAAAAGAAAAAAAAAAACCAAAATACTAAAATACGCCTTATCTCAATTCTTATATTATCATTTTGCTCCATGATCAATGAGGTGATTTCTGCATGCTGGAAACAAATAGAATGAGGACATATCATGCATTGCGATTATGGTTTTATTTATTTTATTTGATTTTGTTTATTTATTCATTCCTTTTGAGACGACAACAGAGTGCACTTTTTGAGAGAGAAAAGATAGTATGTCATGGAGGACAGGAAATCCTCCAACATGACTCCAAGGACAGAAAATTAGATAAAACACAAACTAAAAATAAGTAATACTCTCCAATCATGACTTCAAAGAAACCCCTCCAAAAGATTCAGAAGCACAAGCCTACATCTTGTCCCAACTTGATTGAAGCACATGCCACATCTTGTCCCACAACAAACTAAATGAAAAACTGACTTTTAAAATGTGCATTCCTCTCCATCCAAATACTCCATAGCACTGCAAATAAAGCACAGTCCAAATAATTTTCATCTTCCCTACTTCCAAATCCTCTCCATTTTTTATATGATAAAAGTCTCTAAAGCACTGCTCCAAAAGAAAAGAGAAAGGAGGAGATGGAAGGGACACTAATTCTACACAAGTAATGAATATACCGTCCAGACAACTTCCTTTTATCTCTGCAACCAACTAAAATTTTCGTCTGTTCCTTAAGAGAGCTGCTATGTGATGCAGGTGCCCTTGCAAGCCCTATCTTCGGATTAGCTGGAGTCCTATGTTGGCCTTTGTAGGGATGCAAAATACGCAAGATCAACCATTCGATTTGCTTTTCATACCACTTCTTATGAAATCCAATATCAGAAATTGAAGCCGTATACACTGTTAAATGAGCACTCATAAATATACCCAACCAATCTAAATCAAACTCCCTGTTTACTTTCTTACTGCAACAAAGTAATATCACCAACTCAAAATTTTCTCAATTAAAAAAACTACACAGTGGCACAGGTCATCACTATTTTTCTCTAAAGGCTTTTCAGAAAGCTAGTCAAATTGGTGCCAGGTATTGCACCATTTTTCTCCTTTCAGGCCCAGTGGGACCGAAAACAGAAACTGCAGAAATTATAGGCCCCAAAGTTCAATAAGGAAGTGGGTATATCATAATGCAATGCAATAAACGCAACAAATAATAGCATTTGTGTTTGTCCAGGGCATAACATGAATACTAACCATCTATGAGCCTTTCTGAAAAATGGTCTAGAGCTGTTGAGGCCAGTGCTTTCAAATTCCTGGAACAAATCTTCAGCTACTTTTGTTAGCGTTTCGCTTGAAGGCTTCTGAGGTCCAGTTTGAGCAATTATATCCTTTGCATACTTTATTGTTGAGTGCAATACCCATCGTTCACTGAACAAGAAAGCAAGGTGGTAAATAGACAAAAAAAACAAAACTTTAAAAAAGATTCTCTCTATTAATACATATAAGGAAAGAAAAGTTCATACTTTGTGGTTGATCGACCGGGCTTGCTGCTGTCACAGTGACCCCAGCTTAGAACTTCAGAATTTTTGAATGAGAAGCCTTTTACAGGTATCTTAAGGACCATGTAAAAAGTTCCATTAAGAGCTAATAAATATATAACTAAACCCAATGGTATAAAGTCAAAAGAGAGGAGAAGAAAACAGAAGGAAAGAGTATGTGTCACTAGTGATGTTTGGGTCATAATCACATTAACAATGTTTTGTGCAAACTTTACATAGTATTAAAAGTGCTCCACTAAGAAAATGAAAATGTAATGACTTACAGGAGATAAAGGCTCGGTAAATGCTAGCATAAGAGCAAAACACGGATTAACAGGAATATCTTGGAACTTCACTGCCAATTCTGGAGCCCAACTCAAATCTGAATTGATCACAAATTGCTAATGGGTTAGGATAACAGCTTCCCTATTCTTCACCAACAGAATGACCACAATACATAACATAGCATGACATATAACAAATGCATGAAGTAACATATCTTCATTCTGGGGTAATTTTGCTTTTCTATTCCTAACTTTCGTTTATTAATTACATCAAAATATGGACAAAATGACTCAAAAATCAAAAGCCAAATGAACAAAAATACTCAAACTTTGTTCAAATGATCAATTTTGACCAATGCTTTTAATTTTATCAAATTTATTTCCAACCTTCACATTGGTATCAATTTTAGCAATCTCACTCTAACAAACCAAAAAACAAATATTATTTGAATCTAAATAAAATGTCAGCAGTGGACGTAGAGATAAAGAAAAGACTTCAAAATTTAATTTTAATTATGAAAATAACATTTTATTTGACTTTAATTTGCTTAATTAAAGTAAGATGGAGGATAAAAAGGATTGGCTAAAATGAAAATTTTCTACAAAGTTTATGGCTTTTAAGTCACTCGGCCAAACTCAAAACAAACAGTAGTCACACTGGTAACACTTTCTCAAATGTACTAACTAGAAATTAAGGATACACATACATGCAGCACCATATAATATTTTATAAATTAGTTGGAAGAAGAAAAAGAATCAAGTTAACGAGAAAATAAAGAAGAAGCAATTTAGCTGTCGAGAATTGATAACTAGGAGACAACTTGGAGACGGTTCTATCTTTCAACAGCAATTTTACATGAATTGGCTGTTTCCAAGACTTTTTTAGGGACATGATAATGGATAATTGAATCTGTCAGTATGAGGAAACATTTTCTGTTGATATTATGTGGTTGCCTTTGCTCATGATTGGTAAGGGAGGTGATAAAAAAAATAGAATTACAGTGAAAAGGTGAATATGTTCACAGGATCTAGGCAATAATACAGTGTTATAAAAAAAAAAAAAAAGAGTTTTTTTCAGATAATAACAAAGATGGTAGAAACAGGAACATCTCAGTGTGCTTTCTCGGTCTATCCCTTAAGACACACTTTGCTTAGTGATTTTGAATGTTTAGGCCTGCTATAGGAAAATAACATTATCTCAAAGATAGTTACTAAAGGTGCAAGGTGAACTACCGTATAGAGGAATAGTGAAGCCCCATGCCAGATGCTTTTGATAGGTGAGGTGTAAAGAAATGGAACGTGCAAGAAAATTGAGAAGAAATATCACATATTCATAAGACAATAATTTGTAGAGAATATACTCCTTTCCATTTAACAAGTGTCTCAGTGAAGGATCTTTTATGGAATTATTACTATTAGACTTACTATTATCCATATTACAAAGGCATAGGCTAAGAAAATGAAGGATGAAGACGAAAATATCAGAAGTCATATTTAAGACAAAGAAACAGAATACCAGCCTCCTAAAGTGGGAAAACAACATTCCAGTTTGCTTATAATTGAATTGGAAAAATAAGGGGAAAACACAAAAGAAGAAATAGATTAAATATAAGAGAGGGGAGAGAGAAACAGAGCAACAGCAGTGGGCAAAGGGAGAGAGGATGGGAAAATAAAAAATGAAAATAAAGGAGAGACAGAGCAGATTGGATAAAAACATAATGATTAAAGGACCCTAATTGAATAATAGAGAAGAAAAGAAATGAGACAGGGGAGATTAGTTGAAAATGACCTATTTTAGTTATCATTTTTCCTAATCTTTTTCTGATAGAATTCTCCAGAAATTTTATCTTCTATAAACAATATAAATTCATTAATCAAGAGATAGTGGTCCTGCGAGCTGCATCATTCCCACTTCTTCCCAATGGACTGGGGACCTATACTTCCTACCATAAAATGCTTCGTTGGGTATCATCTCTGTACTGGCATGATAACCGTTATTATAAGCAAAAATCTAAGACAGAGATAGGAAGCATGTCTTTTAATGTCTGAATAACCCTTTCTGAGTGTCCGTCTATCTAAGCATGAAAAGCAGTACTGAAATTTGGTCTTGTACCTAGAGCTGTCTGTAAGTACATCCAAACCTTTGACATGAACTGTGGACCTCTATCAGCCACTATAGATAATGGGACTCCATGCAGGCAAACAATCTTTGCTACATATAACCTTGCCAGTCTTGCTACAATAGTCTTTGCTGATATGAAGCATGTTGATCTGATCAATTGATCTACTACTACCCAGATATAGTCATAACCTGCAATGTTCTTAGGTAAAACCTATCACAGAGTCGATTGTAATCCATTCGCATTTCCACTCAGGTATTGGAAATGGCTGCATCAATCCAGATAGTCTTTGATGCTCAACTTTAACTATGAACAGTAGGGATGACCACGGTTCGGTTTCAAACTAGAACCGGATAGAAACTGAACCGGCCATAGTCAACAGTTTTTGGTTCCAAACCATAACCAAAACCGTGTACTTAAAATTCGGTTCCGGTTCTTCATTTTTTGAAACTAGAACTAATAGTTTTGGTTTAAAATCGGCAGTTCCGGTTTGAAACCATGAAAATCATATTCTTAAAAAAACTCACAATTTTTTGTTTTATTATAATTTTTTAAAATAACTTTTAAGAATTTTTGTTCAATCTGTTTAGTTTTTTTAAATAATAATATTTATTACTATTATTTATTCAAGCTACAATTCTAAAAAAGAATTTTAAAAAGCTTGAAATAAATCATCTAATTTCGGTTCAAAACCGGAATAAACCGAAACCGAAAGTTCCAAAACAGTCTTAGAAACCGTCTAAAAGCGGTTCGATTTCAATTCCACCTTTTTTATAACTGAACCGGTGATTCTAAAACAGAAACTGGCGGTTCTGGAAACGTGGTCATGTCTAGTAGACAAGTGAGCCATTTAGCCATGTATTCTACCACTTCCTTTTTCATGCCTTCCACCAAGATAGACCTTTCGACACATGATGGTAGCACCTAGGTGCTAAGATCATTGTCTACTGCAAGGTTTCTAGATCCACCAATTAGTACTCCCTGCATAATTCCATTCAACTTTAGATTCCATCTTTGTGTAGCTTTAATTCTATCAAGTACAAAACCCTTTTTGAGTTGTTAAAGTTGCACCCCAAATCAATCCTTGTCCCCTTAGCACCGTAAATTGAGATTAGGGCTATGTTTATGAATAAAAAACTCTAAAAGTAGGATCCACCTTCCTGGTAAGGCTGGGTTAAGTGAAAACATAGTGTTTCACTAAACCCACCTATGCAACCTATTTTCTTTGACTTCAATGTATTCTCTCCAACCCAATCTCTTCTCTACTCCTATCTATCCCTCTCCCCTTGCCCAATCAACACCCAAAAGCACACGATTTGCATCAAAATCTTGTACCCAAGTTGCTTTAAGAACCCATCTGAAGTTTGCCTCTTTTCTCCTTTCTCTTCTTCTCATTATCAATACAAGCACTTTCCACATTGCTTCCTTTGCCATGCTACACTTCTCTCTATAAGCCGCAATCTGCACATGCAACCTATTACACTACCACTAGCGCGACTTTGTCAGAGACACACACAACTAGGGAAATGAGTAAGCCTAGATGCTATAGTGACCTTCCTTTCAAACCAGAAACTAGGAAAGGTCCATACCAACGTGATCTCAGTTTCCAAGGGAAGAGCTTCAACTGAAATAAATCATAATACAGAATCTAAATCCCTAAATTCCTTCCTTTGGATGTGTTTATCATGCCAAGCCTTCGTTCTTCCTTTGTAAATTACAACATTTTCACATGAGTCCAATTTGAGTTCTTCCAATTTATCAAGTTGTAGTAGCCTTCTTTCTCCAGCAGCCTCCATATCAAAATTCAATGTCTTTGCTGCCACTATGCTATATGTCCCAATTCAACTAAAAAGTGACATAGCTTTCAAAAAATGAGTCTGAAGGGTGACATTCCAATGGGCATTTCATAAGTTGTCCTATATGCCCATAGAGCATCATCCAGCTTTAAAGCCTAATCCTTCCTTGAACTGTTTATAATGTTTCTAGCATGCTCTAATTTCACTGCTGGAAACTTCCACTTGACCACACTGGTCTAGGGGTGATAGAAGGTTTCTATTTGTGACTAATTCCATATTTCTAGTAAGAGTGTTTCTAGGGAGCGATTACAAAAATTAGATCCTCCACTACTAATGAGAACTCTTGATCCTCCATGTCTAGTAAGAATGAATTTTCTTTTAAGAATATAAGCATGAACTTGGCGTCATTAGTTGGGGTAGCAACAGTCTCTAACCATTTAGAAATGTAATCCACTACCACTAAGATATATTTTTTTGAAAAGGAAGAAGGGAAAGGACCCATAAAATCTATTCCTTGGATCAGTAGCTCTGTTCCTCCAAAGCAAAAACAGAGGAGCGATAATCAAGCATGTTCTTGGCCCTGATACCATGTTGAACTTTAATGCATAAAGAGAAATTTAATCCTTATTTCACATAAATCAAACTTTACAATAGTTGGTATTTATATACAATCCTAGAATAGGAAGTACTATGAAATCCTAGTATAGGAAGTTGTTACAATTATAGAAGTTCATAGAATAGGAAGTAACAATAACCCTAAAAAAATAGAATTTGAGCTCATTAAGGGAACCCTATAATCTCTTGAAGTTCATCTGAGAGAACTCTATGATCTCTTACAGCTCTTTTGAGAGAACTCTATGATTGTGAGTTTTAGGAACCCAGAAGTTTGTTTAAAATTCTTTTCATTATCCCAAAACCATTTTAAACAACTAAATTCACAAGAACAGGCAAAGATAACCACCATAACAATAATGTAACTTAAAACTACCCAATAATAACCACCCACTAGTTAAGGAATTGCTTCTCACGTTCTTACATACACATTAAGAGAAACAGAACAATAAGGTACTAAATAGAATTAACCCAAATACAGCAGCTCCCTAACATTATACTCCTTCTTGACAAGGCGCTTGTCCCCAAATGCAAAGGATGAATAACATGCCATCGTCAGCTTCTAATTATGGGAAGCAAACAAAACCATTGTCACTCTCTGTTAGTGTTGCATATAAGGAGCCATTCAATTACACTTGGACTTTAGTTCTTCCACACTTTTTAAACATAGCAATCATTTAAGTAAAAATTTCTAAATTGTTCGGCTTCTCTATTATTTATTTTATGTTCTCAGATTGCTACTCGTCAAGCCCTTCCAAAAAAAAAAGAACTTTTTGCATTGATGTGAAAGAACATCCAACATGTGACAATTATAACAAATACTTTTTGCCCCCTCTCCTCCATCTTTGCTCTACTCCAACTTTTAAGGAACAAGGTCCTCAGCACTCTACTTGTAACTTTCATTGAAGAGTGATAGAGTCTCTGGGATACTTGTCTGCACACAGCTAAAAGTCTCCTTAGCCCTACTATAGTTGATAAATCAAGTGTTTATTGCAATTCTACTTTCTTGCCAACCACTTATAAAAAATTTCTTGTTCCTGGGATAGAATCCGCTGCAATGACTTCTCCTTCCAAACTAGAGGCTAACAAATCAAAGGAAAGTCCCTCAAATTGAAGTAACAATTGTTATTGTTCAATTTTGTCTCTCTCCCATTCTACTCTACCATCTAGATACACAGCCACAGAAGCTCGAAATTGCTCCAAAAAACTTGCAAATTCCCCATAACTATGGCTCTTATACCAAATATTATGTTCCTAACAGAGAACTCTATGATCTCATAGACCTTGTTTGAGTGAACTCTACAATCAATCAGTTCTAGGAACTCAAAACTTTATTTAAGATTCTGCTCAAATTTTTTCATTGACCCGAAACCTTTTTAAACAACCAAATCCTAAAACAAAGGCAACATAACTACACATCAATATAGAAATTGATACCCACATTCTTAGCTACATTCTTAGCTACACATGAGAAAAACATAACAATAAAATACAAAATAGAGCTACCCCAGAGACAGCAACTCCCTAAATAATTATGCCACTCTGATCACAATGGATAATGTTTGGTTTCTGGTCACAATGGATAATGTTTGGTTTCCAAGGATTAACTTTCTTCATGCAATCCCCCATTGAAAGTTGCTGCCTAATGGATGCTTTCCTTGGGCAATTGGCAAATTTGACAATTATAATATGAAATGATCTAAAAGATCCAATGTTTGGTATTCTACTCTATATTTGAAAACATTGTTTGAGGTTCAAGCTTATTGAAAAATTGGTAATACCAATTTGATGAACAAGTCCTAACCTTCATATGCATCAAATAATCATTGAAGACAAGATTTGTCAACAATAAGATGCACTTAGGTTCAGGAGGCTAGCACGTTAAGATGATATCCTTTCCAACACCAAAAACTTGTCCAGACTGCAAATCACTGCAGACAATGTCATCCTATCTGAGACATTTTTTCAGATTTTGGCATACCATTGCATTCAACAAAAGGTAGATTTAGGGATTATTTTGATTTAATTCTTAAATATGCAAGTCAGTTATCCTTCTCGTTAGTATTCTACTTAGGAAATTTAAAGTTTAGTGTTAGGGGCTTTTATTTTGATCAGGAACATCTAGAATTAGGGTGTGCAAATGAGAAGTTAGGTTCGAAAACGAAAATTAGCTTTTCCTTGAAACTGAACCGCACCGAAGTAAATTTAGAAACCAAACCAAACCAGTTGGTTCAGTTCGGTTCACTTTGGTTTGGTTTTACTCAGAAAATAATTGTTTTCTAATAACCAATCCAAAGACCGAAAACCGAAGTTATAGAAAATTGAAAACTGCAGCCAAGAATTGAATAACTGAACCAAAAACCAAAAATAATTCGGTTTGGTTCAGTTTTTTCCAAAGTTTGCTCACCCCTACCGACAATGTTGCCTGCTTCTCTTTCTATTTAGTATTAGTTAAAAATTTCCTAATTTGGATTCATAATCCTAATATAAGGATTGCAATATTCTAAACTAACTAAGTATTATTTAATTACATAAATGGAAAATTAATATTTGACTTGAATGTGGGCCTGCAAAGTGTAAAGGAAGATTCTATGTTCTATTTATCCACTTTTAAGTACGAGATAGAGAACATAAATATTTACCGAGTGGTGGTGGACATCCTGTGATATCTTTAAACCTTGGAGAAACTATATTTTTGTCTGATGCTACCACTCCTTTAAATTGGCCATGATTTTGGCCATCCATACCCATCACCAACCATGATTCCTCATTATCTAACCACTCCACCTTCCCAACTCCTACCCCGAACTTGCTTTCCACCCCTAAACACATATAAAGATAAATATTAGTTTCTAGTTTTACTGTGACCTCTGAAAGTAAATATTACAAAAGAAAAGCAACAGAATGACTACACACCAGTCTCCCTGCATAATGCTTTACAAATAGAATTCATACCCGGCACCCCAACATATCTTTTGCCCGGTCCTTCCTAAATAAAAGTGACACTAAAGATAATGTCATAGTAAAAACATAACAGAAGACAAGTACATGTGTACGGTTCTTTCAGTTACTACCTTTGATCCATTATCTGAATGTATCTAAGATTGACTTTGAATAAATTAAATTACAAAGAAAACCAACATAAATAAGATATCCACCCGTCTCTAAAATTATTTGGAAGGTCAAATATGTTTTTCCTTAACTATAGGCTGCCACTAACATTTTACATTTGGCAGCAAGTGGACTTGGAGAAAGAAATTCTGGGATAGCAGTTAAAATATTCAAAATCAAGGAAAAGTTTGCTACAAAGGAGTCATTCAGAGCTAACTTAGTATGCTTTGGAAAGGCAAAAGGATTATATTATTCCATTTCTTGTTGTTATTCAAGGAATACATAAGAAAATGAGGAACAGACCAAGGGTGACATGGGGGAAATGGTGAAAAACAATTTCACAGCATTATATCCTTCTGATAATATAGCAGAAAATATGGTGAATGGAAGAAATAAATCCATACAATCAACTCTAACTAGTTTGAAAAGACTTGGTTGAGTTTATTCAAGGAATTCACAATTTTTCATGATACTTTTACATTTGGTTCACTTGAGTTTGGAGAAAAACAGCATCTAGTTACAGTTATAATTCTCATAATTAACCATATTTAACAATCTCAAAAGTAAAACCAAAATTATGACAACTCTTACTTCCCTCTCTCTTCTCTTTCCATCAACTTAAATTCTAGATCTTCCTTTTTGTGGATTTTGATTGACTTAAGATGGAAAAATGAAATATTTTCCCTGTAAGTTTATATAATCAAAGAAAGCTCATTGTAAGAAAAGCGATTTAAGGTCCAAGAGCAAGAGAAGGAGAAGAAAGACAGGGCAGAGGTGTGGGTGTCATCATGTAAGGGCACATATTTTTTTTTTTTTTCTTTTAATTAAGATGGTACATGTGTCTTATAGTGTGGCAACTAATCAAATATATGCATTCAATGCATCGTAATTGGATACAAAGACTCTCTTGAATACAAGACGGGTATCAAACTATTTTTATACACTATTTTTAGGACAAAAGCTTTGTTTATTTTGATGTCATTTTATGTCTGAACATAGCATACTTTTTTATATATAATCAAAGCAAACTGAATTCTGGTACAAATATATAGATTATACAAAGAGAAGAAGAGAGAGGTTCAAAAGCTATTCATCTATTTTCACATACTGCATAATCTAGGCAATTGGAGCTACAGAAAGCATCCATATTTACAATCTTAAAATCCAATTATCAAGGCATACTGGGCAATACATCAAGAAACCCAATGGCGAATGAGTTCATATGACTATTTAATTATTCAGCCAGAATCTATAGACCTTTTTTCTTTTTTTCAAGAAGAGAAATTTCATAAGGGATCCTGCTCAAAGACTCAACAAACAATAACATAAAACATAGCCAAAATATTAACATCTTCCAACCAAGTTAGATAGTAATGAAAGAAACTTTCACGCAAGCTCCAAAAGCAAATGCCTAAATAGGAGCCAAGAACACCATCTAGTCCTACAACAAAGAATATAAACATTGATTTTTGAAGATGCAAGCATTTCATAACAGCCAAACTCCATAAAACAGGAAGAAAAAAAAATTGCAAAGAATTTTTTCATCCTTCTTGCCAGTAAAACCTCTCTTTTTACGTACAAAAAAGTCATGGAAAGTTCTAGACAAAGCCAATACTCATCAAAGAAGCTAAGGAGGCAATTCAGAATTGCCCACAACACCTCACAATGTAGAAACGAGGGATGAGTTTCACCATGTTTATGACATATTAGACACCGATCAGGAGATTAGGTCTTGCATAAGTTATGTGCCATGGGAAAGGCTATAATGCAAACTAAATTTTGAGTACGTTATACATGTGCATAACTATTAATAGTTTCAGTCAACAAAATATACATGCATCAAGTCGAGTGTCATCCATTACATAATGTGGAAGCTCACTAATATATTGACAAGCGTTCTAATAGGCATAATATGAACAGTTCTAAACCTGTTCTATGTCAAGAAATTTGTTGGAGAGACAATCAAAAGAGCCAAAATTCTCTTTCCACTCAGCAACAAGACCTTTCAATTCCCACTCATGGACAACTCTTAACACATCAGTGTTGCTGACAGTGAAAAATGGAGCACCATGGTCAAACAATAGGTCATTCCCATCTTCAGCAATTTCTCTATCACAAATTTCAAAAAATACAAAGTTAAGTTTTCTTTTTCCAAAACATAAAAAACTTCAAAAACTTCAAAAAAAAAAAAAAAAAGAAAAAACTAACATGAATAATGGCATTGCATCGGTGTATGTTAGCTTCAATCTGAAATTGGGGATAGAATACAATTCTTGGAATAGAAAACCTTTTTTTCTTTTGTTTGGTTCAAAAGGAATCCAAACTTTTTTAAGATATTTTTATATTTCAATAACTATACATATATAGCAACTAATAGCAATTGCAGATGAGATGAAAATTATTGAAATTTACTACTTCCTCCGTCCCAAAAAGATAGTTGACCTTTCATTTTTGGTTTGTCCCAAAATATACTCCACTTTCCTTTTTTGCATTATAGTTAATCCTTAAATTGCCTTATATCCTTATTAAATTCTATCTTATTTTCAATAACCCTCGTTATTTTTTACTTATTATTTCAATATAATAATTGCGAATGTGTTATTTAAGATAGGCATAATAGAAAATTTATATGAATAAAATTGTCTTTAACCATAACAATTGCTAATCTCTTCATCCACGTGAGAATAGAAAGTGGACTATTTATTTGGGACGAAGAGAATAATTGTTAATAAAGCAAACATTCTGAGAAATTGCATTTAAAAAAAACTTTACCTTCTCTGGGACATGCGGCCACCAGGGCCGCGGGCAGACTCGAAGAGGGTGACTGAAACTCCATTCCTTGCAAGAGTTGATGCGCATACTGCTCCTGATACTGTCGCACAAATGAAATTAAGCAGAATGAGCGACTTATACATTTTTGAGAGGCAGAAAAAGAGAGAAGACAAAGTTAGATGATACTTACTTCCACTTCCAACAACGGCGACCTTAGTAACAATGTTGCTCATGATACAGAAAGAGTGATTCAGTGATCGAAAATACCTATGACGGATAGGGGCTTAGTTTTTTTATTCTCATTTTATATATATATATGTATATCAAACTATGTTTACAACGTAATAATATATATAGAGGCAGAAAAAGCCATATAATAGTTTATGTTCATTGTCTTTAGTATGATCTGGACATTGCATACTTTTTATACATATATAAATCAAAGGCGAAACCTTGAATTGCGTGGACACAAGGTATAGTAGATCGTATACAAGATAGCACTGAAGAGAGAGAGAGTTCAAAAGTATTCATCTATTTTCACATACTGCATTAATCTAGGCAATTGAGACTACAGAAAAGGCACCATATTACCTAACTTAAAATTATCCAATTATCAAGGGCATCATCTCAGGCAGATTATCATCAATGTGAATACCCTAAACTAATGAAGGCTCTCGCGAATGAGTTTCATATGACTATGTAATTATTCCGCAGGAATCTATAGACCTTTTTTCTTTTTCAAGAGTAGCATTTCACATAGGGATACTCGCTCAAAGGACCTCACCAAAACAAATAACATAATAACATACTCACAATATGATTCTAGAATCTATCTATACGCCAATCCAGAGAGAATTAAAAGTGTAATATGTGAAGCAAACCTTTCACGTCAGAGCTCCAAATAAGCAATCGTTAAAATAGATGCCCAAAAAATATGTAGCAACACACTCTCAGATCCATAAAATCCAAAAGTAGACTCAATTATCAATTACATATCTTGTATGTTGAAGCGATAGCAATGCAATTTTATATAACTCTCAGCCAAACTCCATACAGGGAAGAAAAAAAGAATGTGGCTAAAGAATATATTAACCTAATAATGCTAACTCCATATAATACTCTCTGCTCTGTATTTACGGTACAATAAAAAAAGAGTTCACTCGAAATTACCTCAACAAAAGCAATACTCATCAAAGAAGTCTACGGGTAGGCAATTCCAAATGCCCACAACAATCAGCCTCAAAGTAGAACGAGGGTATGAGTTCAACTAGTGTATGCGCATATAGACAATTCCAGAGATCTATGCGAGAGTATAGGCTACGCCTATGCTTTAATGTGTCTATGGAAGCTATGTTATAATGCAAACTTGAAATTTTGCTGTACAGTCTCCTTACTATGTGACATTAACACTTAATAGTGCAGCAACAAATATATCTACATGTCTATAAAGTCGATAGTAGTCATACAGTACATATAGATGTCCAGCCTACACTAATATATGAACGAAGCCGTCCTCTAATGAGGCCGATAATTACAAATGACACAGTTACAATAACCTGTTCTATGTCAGAGAATTTGTTGAGAGAGAGAGAAGGACAATTCAAAAGAGCCAAAATTCTCTTTCACATACAGCAACAAACCTTTCAATTCCCACTCATGGACAAACTCTTAAAAACAATCAGTGTTGCATGACTATTGAAAAAATGGAGCACCATGGTTCAAAACAATAGGTCATTCCCATCTCAAGCGAATCTTCTCTATCACAAATTCAAAATATCAAAGTTAAGTTTTCTTTTCCAAAACATAAAAACTTCAAAAACTTCAAAAAAAAAAAAAAAAAAAAAAGAAAAAACTTTAACATTGAATAATGGCATTGCATCGGTGTATGTAGCTCAATCTGAAATTGGGGAATAGGAATACAATTCTGTGGAATACGACCTTTTTTTCTTTTGCCTCTCTCGCTCTCGCGCTCACTTTTTTAAGATTATTTTTATATTCATAAACTATTAAACATATATACAACTAATAGCAATTGCAGATTGAGATTGAAAATTATTGAAATTTTACTACTTCCTCCGTCCCAAAAGATTAGATATATACACTTTCCATTTGGTTTGTCCCTACTCCAACCTTTCCTTATATATTGGCATTATTAGTTAATCTTAAATTGCCTTATTTCCTTATTTATATTCTATCTTATTTTCAATAACCCTCGTTTATTTTTTTAACTTTTATTATTTCAAATATAATAATTGCGATGTGTTATTTAAGATAGGTATATAGAAAATTTATAGGAATAAAATTGTCTATTAAAATCATTAACAATTGCTAATTCTCTTCATCCAAGTGAGATAGAAAGTGGACGTAGTTATTGACAATAAAATATTGTTAATAAGCAACATCTGAGAAAAATGCATTTTAAAAAAAACTTTACCTCTCTGGGACATCGGCCCACCAGGGGCCGCGGCAGACTCGAAGAGTGTGACTGGAACTCCATTCTTGCAAGAGTTGATGCGCATACTGCTCCTGATACTGTCGCACAAATGAATTAAGCAGAATGAGCGACTTATACATTTTTGAGAGGCAGAAAAAGAGAGAGACAAAGTTAGATAACACCATCCTAACAAACGGCGACCTTAGTTAACAATGTTGCTCATGATATACAGAAAGAGTGATCAGTGATCGAAAATCCTATGACGGATAGGGGCTTATATATATTATATATCTCATTTTTATATATATAGTAATGAATAATTAGTATACTATTATATATTATTATATTATATATATTATATTTTTTTTTCTTCTTATCGTGTTACACACTTGTCCAAGGGACTGTCTGAGAATATAGGATGGGATCTCAATAGAAGATGTAAGAAGAGTGCAGGTCATTTTCCGTTTTTTTAACCAGTACCGCCAGTTGAATTGGTGGGAATCGAAATCGAAACAGTGAAATTAAAATGGAGCTGAACGAAAACTAAAAATCAGAGAGATATACAGATATACAGGTTTTTTAGTATTCAAACTTGAGGAAATCGTGAACCGGCGGTTTTAAGAATCGATCGGAATCGGTTTTAAAAACCTCTGGGTTTTCCACCGGTTAGAACCTTGTGTCCATCGGTTGCAATAATTGTTGTTCTTTTTTAAATATTTTGAAAATTTTCAAATTAACATTTAACTATATATAAACACAGTTAATTTAAGAGTTTGGCTGCGCTCTTAATTTTGTAGACTTACTCCTTCAAAGTAGTCCCTCCTGTATATTGTAAATAAAATAACACTTGAAAGGTTCAAAGCCCTTTCTAAAAAAAAAAAAACTCTCAGCTTCTTTATATGACCAAAATAAATTAGTTAAGTATCTTTCTCTCTCTGTCTAAATTTATTCATAAATCATTTCCAATTTTCCACTTCAATTAAAAAAATGTTCCCTAACTTTGATTTTTTATAATATTTGGAAAAATCAATTGAAGATACCGGTTGAACTGCTGATTTGAACCATAAAGAACCAGAATCAAACTGCAACTGTTTGATTTCAAAATTATAACCAGAACATCAATTTCTAGTTCAATATCCAGTTCCAGATTTTTTAAAACTGAATCCGTTCATTCCATAACCGCAACCGGCGGTTCCAGGAGCTGTGGTCACTCTTGTTGATAGATGCAAGAATGGGGGGATACAAGAATCACGACATTAAATATTCCCAAACTTAAATTATGAGTGGCGGGCCTCGTTGTGAACCGCGCTCCGGCACCTGGCATATAACCTCGCTCTTGACTAGGGCAAAAAATGCCAACCGTGAATAGTATGAGTCGCCCTGATATAAGTTATTTTAGGGTATAAACTAGGAAAAAACCCTAGTTGACTCACAAATTTTAATTTAACCTACATTACTAGATATTTTAAAATAGAACATCTTCGACCCGAGTGGACTCCCGAGACTATTGTCATGCGCGCTCACCTACCTAGTGAATGCTGTTGCAGTAATTGGATGCAAATTGGCCAATTAAAGTGTTTAAGTGATTTCCATGAATTCGACTTGCCGCTCGGGTTAAATCCGAAACGTGATACAGAACTCCGTTATGGAAGATCAAATTCACCGCTACGCTCTCAATTAGCCTTTTTCCTCGCGCTTTGAAATAGTATGCTTAATGCATGAGTGGTTGTATTGGCTTGTGCAATTTATTTAGGCATTTTGCCCAAAGAATTGAATTGATTTGATTTAGGTATTTTTGTTGCCAAATTTGTTTGATTAAGGCTTTTAGCCAAAAGAGATTTAGCAAAATTGTTGCCAAAGTTTATGTGTTTAGGCGATATAGTCGCCCACAATTTGATGATTTTAAGGCTTTTAGCCAAAATGAGTTGATTTAGGCAATTATTGCCAAAAGTGTTTGGATTGGGCGCTCAGTGTCACGCCAAAATTGGTTGTTTTAAGGCTTTTAGCCAAAAGATTGATTATTAAAGGCTTCTGCCAAGACTTTTTTTAAGCGATTGTCGCTAAAAAAGATTTAATCTCACTTATAAGCAATTGTTTGCAAAGAGATAATTGATTGCAAATGTAGGCCAATTTATTGCGGAGAAAACGTGTTTATTAAGGCTACTTAGTCACAATTATTATTTATGTTTGCGACTTAAGCCGGACTGTTCGAAATAAAAGGGCACTTACACCATTAGTTTATCATTAACCCTAGGCTTAACCAATAATTGTCGGATTTAGGCTTTAATATCACGATTATTAATTAACTGGGCATTTAGCCTAAACTTATTAATTAGGCAGTTTTATTTGCCTAATGATGACGTGAATGATTTATACAGTTGTTAGAATCTAGGAGCTAGAGAGAAACCATGATTGAAGTGCTAAATTAAATAGGCAGAGTTTCGTTTATTGTTACCCTGATTTAATCGACGGCCGCTTCTTAGCTTCAGCTTGAAAAACTCTGGATTAAGCTCCTCGTTTAGGAATATTAATTAATTTAATTTCAATTTAAGTGACCAAGTATCACAACATAAAATAATAAAGCCTATGGCTAAATGCAGAAAAGCAGTAAAGAATCGCAAGGAGCGTAGGGAGAAGGAGCAGTACTCCCTGTCAATACAGACTGACAGAGTGAGTAAAAACGAGTGCCGGGCGAACAATATTTGTTAATGCCCATTTTTTTTTTCTGATGTTTTAATAGTAGTTTATCGGTCTCTGAATAGTACCAACCTGTCCAAGAATTGCCGTATTATTTTTGGTCCGGAAAAATTTACTATTTATGTTTTATATTTTATTTTACATTTTTTTGGAGCATGTATGCCATGGTTTTTATGGAG